AAAGCCAAATGTGATAACTTTCAATGACTTTTTCATATAGTAATTCGGGCAACAAGTAAACCATAACTTCACGTATTTTGTACTTTGATTTCAACGAAGATGTGGAGTTATTCATAGAAGCACAACAAACCAAGGAGTGGTCACCAAGCCATATTGTTGAATTTCGCGCAATGGAGGAAAATTAAATACTGCACACGTTATGCCTACGGTGACCATCCGTCCTTTATTTTAAAGGACAGTCCTTTATTTTAACCCCTGTAAAGGACGCTTTTTGTCCTTTATTTCTTGAACTGTCCTTTAAATCGGCTCTTCATTTTTCAGGGGTAAATTTTTAAACGCAGAATATGAAAAATAAAAATGTCCCTTATAAAATATAATGAAAACCTTCGCCAGTTTGCCTCGCACCCCACTTAAGGGTTTCTATTGAATCGGTAATCTTTGTACAAGCTATAAAGCACAGGGAAAGTTTTGCCCAGGATCGTGTTGCACGCTGAGTTTCCAGTTCCACTGAAAGAGAACAATGAACCCCCTGCTGCACAGTGGTTCAAAACTGGCATTTAGTGTTCGCAATTCACTGGAGCCTTCATTTTTCACTTAATTTGATGAATTTTTATTTTTTTGTTTATGAAAGCTTAAGGTATTTGCAAGAGACCAGTTGAGCCTGATTTCTGAACTTTTATTTGATAATATTAATTTTTTTAGTGCAAAATACAGATAAGGTAGCAATTTTGAAGAAAATGTATTCTCCTGTTCCTGTTAATAAATGTTACATAAAAAAAACTAGTTGAAAAATGTTGTATGGTTCTCCCTAAACAAAAAAAAAAAATACACAAAAAAATTTTGAAATATTATAAAAAAGTGTTCACTAAAATAAATATTCTTTTTTGGTTTTTAGTAAAAATTTGTTGAAAAATGAAACCTACGCATTATGAACATTAAATTCCAATTTTGAACCACTCTGTGCGGCTTCGTCGTGCCGTATGAATTATGGTAAACGCATTTTCGTAGCAAAGGATGGCGAAGTCCTTGAAAAGGATTTGGCTTAATTTTTCGCTACAGAAGGGGAACTTGTACAATTAAATAATATAATTAACTG